AGTACATTGGGCCATGGGTCCTGTAGAGCAGTGATTCCCAAACTTTTTAGACTTGTGAACCCCCTGAGCCATTTTGTCATACCACTAGCACCCCCTCAGTAAAACGTAATGATTCTCCAAAATAATGTACAACAACTGAATATTAAATTTAAAATATTTATTTTACTCCCTAGAACATTTAATTCTCAGGCATTTTACTCTTTTCAATTCAAATTAAACAACGATAAAAATGTTGCCTTGAAAGTGAATAAGTAATTACCGTATTTATTCATGTAATACAATCTCGAGTATAATATGATCATAATTTTTTGAGATTAAAAAGCATAAAAAAAATCTAATCATCAATAACCTGTGTATAATGCCCCCCCCACACACACACACACACATTATGTATGATTTTTAGTGTTAAATTTCTAGTATTATACATGAATAAATACAGTAAATAAATAAACCAGGCAATGGCAGGTGCAGGAAGCAGCAGTGTCCAAAATACATCAAATATCACAAATGAGCAAATTCTGTTCTGAGATTCCTCATTTTATACTGGATTCCATTTTGTGTCAATTTTGTGATTCTGTTTGCATTTACCGCATTGTAGAAATCATAGAGCCCTACATATCAGAGTCCTATTTTTATTAATTTTTTTTTACACACCTGTGAAGTTTTTCCACGTACCCCCTGTAATATGATCGCGTACCCCTGTTTGGGAATCTGCTGTAGAGCCCAAGTTTTAAATAAAGCTGTTGTATAATGTATAGTGCTCAAAGTATGTGTTGGAAATGACTTTCTACTATTACTACACCAAACTTTAACTCAGTATCTGTAAAATATATTGAGTTACAGCCATTTATGAGTTGGCTAAGTTTAAATAGCTGTGATCTAACTCCAGAAATGAATCAAGTCATGGTGAACATACAATGATTACCTTTTCAAAGCCTTGTCAGAAGACCTCTAAAAAGGAATTTTCACTCTGAGTGGTTATGGGAGTCATCCTGTAATCCCGTAGGGTCACTGGTTTGATCCTCCATTCCAGCTGTCTCAGTTGTTTTGTCCTTGGGCAAGATACTTCACCTACTGATGAGGGTCCAGTGGCACCGGGGCAGCTGTGGCTACAATGTAGCTTACCACCATCAGCATGTGAATGGGTGAATGACTAAATGTAAAGCACTTTGGGGTCCGACTGGGCTTGATAAAGCGCTATATAAGTTCAGACCATTTACCATAAAAAACAGAAGAGCTAATTATTTATCCAAAGAGAGTAATTTGACAGAAAAAATTGTTAAAAGAAGAATTTTGCTCTTATAATTACAGTGTTACCCAAAACCCTGACTTCAAATGGATACCTGTTAGATTTTTGACCCTTAAGTTTCAGTGAGCTGTCACTGCCGGCTCATCTGACACAGAAAGTGACTGCAACTGTTAGACCTTAGCGCCGAACGACGCCACTGTTCTCCTTTAACTCCTGTCTTGTTTGAAGAGCTCAAATAAAAYGTTGGCTGAGAGGAGGCCTCAACAAAGAGGCTGGCAGGCCACCGACATGGTGCCGCCGTCCCACACGCTCACTGATGAGCTCACATGACCGTGTGCCACCCTGACATGACTCTGTGACCAGCGAGCAGACGAAATGAGGGTCCAGCATCTCATTAGCACCATATTGAGAGAATCAGAAGGAGGGGCGAGCCGGGAGAGGGGAGGAAGGGGGGGATTCCTCCAGCTGTTTTTCTAATAACAGAGCAGAGCTGATAGTCACAGAGAGAAAGAAAAGCTAAACAACCTGACAGGAAGGCGCTCAGCGAGGAGTTTAGAGAAGCAAATTATGAGGTTAAAGTGAAAAAGGAAGAAGATGACTGAAAACTAGAATTACAGCGGATGTGGGAGGAGAGCGACAGAGGTGAGTTTCTTCCGCTTCCTTCGTTTTTTGCCCCTGAAGCCAATCAGAGTGACTGCCATGCAAATGTTTGGATTTGTTTTTTCATTGTTTTTTTTTCTCCCCCTTGCTGGCTTGAATTGTCCCACGCCCACTTTGAGATCAACAACATGTGTGTGTGTGTGTGTGTGTGTGTAACTTTAAATGCCAAGGGAAAAGTGGGTCAGCAAGAGAGTAAAGAGGTGGGGGTATGTGTTTGGGGTGGGGGGTGGGGGGTAGACAGAAATCCTCAGCAGCCCTTGAACTACAGTAACAAGTGATCACTTGAGTAATCACCGGTGATTCAGAAAGAAATGTAAGTGATGGTTTACTCCAGGCATGATTGCTTTATTCTATTATTATTATATATAGATATATTTTATTTTTCATTCTCTCTCAGCTTTTGATTTTTTATTTATTTTTATTTTTATTTATTTGTGTGTGTGTGTGTGTGTGTGTGTGTGTGTGTGTGACTGAACAGAACTGCTGTTTTAAACTTGCTCTTGCTCACGTCTGGACAACAGCATCAAGATAAAGATAAAATGACTTTTGTTTGAAGCCGCAGGAGTTTTCATTTGGTTCCAGCTTGCAGGAGCTCCTAGGAAAAAGAGAGCATTTTCATGGAAAAATGCGCTCATGTAAGCATGAAGGAAGTTCTAACACAAGCTGAAACGTTTCAGTCAAGTCCAGCCTTGTGAGGAGTGTTGAATCTTGTGTGTTTAGTCACTTTCCTTTAAGCAATCCAGCAATGTGTCAGCACAGAGACAGGAACAGGCCTTGAATCTGAAGTCTTTTTTCCATGTTTGTGCGCATTTCTCTCTTCTTTTGTTTTTCATTTTACCTCATGGTGTGCACTTCATTTTGCTTGGAAAGAATTTTATTCTACATAAAAACGTAGTTGTTTGCACTCTTCTGGTCATGATCTGTGAAGTGAGCAGCAGGAGGGGTCAGGGCTGGAGACAGTTGGTTTCTAATAAGCCTTGTGTTAGTCAGAGCAAAGGGGAAAGATGACCTTTTCTCTGCTGTTTATTTTGGGAAAGCAACAGGAAGAATGCTGGAGCAGCTGTTCTATTCCTGCTGGTAGATCCCACCCCTGTGAATTCCAGTCCGCCACTGGGATGACTGTTCTTGCACTCATGCAGGGTGGGTCTTGGAGGGCATTTGTGCTGTGCGAGATGTAAATAATATCCCTGTTGGATTGGTGTTGTGCAAAAAAAGCTGAGCGGTGCACATGGGTCAGTTCTAGCTGATCGGATTGTCTTTGTTGAGAAGGATGTTTCTGCATTTGACACCAAAAAGATGTCCAACCTGTTGCACAATAACACGACTCATCCTCATGCCAATCACAGGCATTGCTTGTTGTGTGTCAGAACCAGTTTAACAACTATAGTAAGAGAGATGTGCTTTTCCCAGCAATGGCGAGTCGCCCCAAAGAACCCGCCGAGGATCCTCGGAAACAGAGCTTCTGGATGGTGAAGAGTTTTTCCTTTTTTTTAAATAAATCAGAACCGTGTTTGTGTGCAGCTCTTAAATGTGGTTACACCTTTCTGCATTTTTACCTCGCAGCCAGGAAACTATGTGCGCACCGTGCACCGAACTGAGCAGTCCTTCCAGGCCTGCAACGACATCGTGGCCTGCTTCACGGAGCGAGCAAAAGTGGAAAAACAGTATGCTCAGCAGCTCAGCCAGTGGAGCAACAAGTGGAAGGCTATAGTGGATTCTCGTAAGTATAACAGCTCTAATATACGGATCGTTTTCTCTCGTCAGGTTTAAATTTGTGTCTGGGTTCTTGCTTAGTAAGAAAGTCAACCTGTAAATTTAGGCTATTTTACTGTCGCATCCATGACGGATCGTGATTAGCTGCACACGCCCCAATAAAAAAAGATCTGGTGGCGTCTATGTCCGTGACTCACCTCCACATGCTGTTGCTCTGCTATTTTTTACTCCTCCAGGGCCTCTTTACGGCTCCCTAATGAGGGCATGGCAGTGTTTTTTCACCTCCACGGAACGTTTGTCTGCGCTCCACTCCTCCATCGCTCAGTCGCTCACCGAGGAGGAAGGGGAACGGGTGAAGACCTGGCAGAAAGAGACCTTTCCCAAGAAGATCTTCTGTGGATTCAGGGAGAGCTACAAGAGCAACACGAGTTTTTCACGAGCGCAGAAACCCTGGTCCAAAAAGCTGCAGAAGGTTCAGATCATATATGTTTGTTTGTGCAATGACAGAGATGGCAACGTGACAAGATTTTGAAAAACACATTTAATAGTGTGATCATTTTTAAAGTGATGTTCTGCAAACCAGCTGAATAAGAACATATTTTATGTATTTTTTTAAGTCCTGTAACAACTCTTTCTAAAAACTGATAGTGGCTTTCTAAAGAACGTAATGTTAGTTAATCACAGTGCTACGACAGTTCTGAGTTTTAAGCATGAAAAATCATATAAAACAGACCTTCTTTGGATCTCCATTAATCTAGCCTGTAGGAAGACTTCTGCCCTTTTCTTTATACTTCTTGTTCTGTGACTGATAGAACTTATAATGCTCTATTGATAACTATTTGCCATCACTTTAAAAAAAAACACTGCCTCTTTAAAGATTTCTAGTCTACTAAATTAGACATGTCTAATTCTCAGAAACCTTACAAAATTTCTATTATCAATTTCAAATGCTAATTCCTAAAAAACTAAAAGTATTCATGTCAGCTTTGTGCAGCAGTAATTTGGTGGTCAGGTTGTGGGTTAGAGCCCAAGTTGCATCACGAAGGGCACCCAATGCAAAACAACTACCAAAACCAAACTCATGGATCAGCTGAAAGAACAACAAAAACAAGTTGTTGTTCAGCCACAGCCTTAAAATTGCTGCATGAACTTAAGTCAGCACTGGAAAAACTTGTGGCAAATGGAGACTCTCTGGGTCCATGTCGTCTGAGGCTTTTGGCTGATTTTTTTTTTAAATCGAGCAATTTTTCGTGGTATGGCAGGGTATGTTGGGCCGCAGGAGGAAGACCCATAGCCAGGGAGTTTTGTTGCTCAGGAGGGAGTGGGGCTTTAGTAAACTTTAGGTGGTTATCATAAATCCAGTGAAGATCCCAGGAAAACAAGGTGTTAGTTTAGTTCAACGCATTCTCATGCCCCCCGCGTCAACATATTGACGCTTGGTCAGACATGCTGGGTGGCCCCCGCGCGTCCTTTCTTTACGAGATGAGGCGAAGGAGGACGAGCGCGTTGACATATTTTTTTTACAAGAGTAGGAAATGCGTGAAACTAACCATCCCAGATCCTAAATTTAACTTCTATTAGCCTTATACAGCCTATCCCTGACCCCAGACCCTAAATTTAACCAATAAATCTGATCCCTCATATTAACCATTTTCTTAAATGTAGAGAATTTGCGAGAACTAACCGTCCCAGAGCCTAAATTTAACCTAAATTAGCTATATCCAGCCTATCTCTGACCCCAGTATCTCAAGTTAACCATCAATCCTGATCCCTCATGTTAACCTCAGACCCCCGACCCAAAGACCCCTAAGTGACGCAACCTGGAAAAGCCGCGGGCGGCAAGAATGGATGGGCGGGGGATACCTGGCACGTCAAAACTGTACGCAGATGGTCCCTGCCCAAGCGTCAATATGTTGACGAGTCCGACATGAGAATGTGTTAGTTTAGTTAGTCAGCAGTTTTAACGTTGTGGTTGAACATTTCACTTACCTTCTCTAATGCAGCGTTTGGATCGTCAGATTCTTCAACTTTGAGTCAAAACGTGGAACAGAAATCTGCTGCAATATTATAGACAGTTATTCACTTATACAGTGTGTCTGAACAATAAGTCTGCTTCTTTTTTCAGACACTTACCCCAGTATAAAGTATTTTGAAGATGTTGAGAAATGACCGACTTGTAAACTTGGTCAAACATTAAAAATAATCTGATGCACAATTTCACACACTATCGTAAGATTTTGCATAAACTGTTAGAGCTCAAATAATGTGTTATGAATGACTCTAGAGCAACGATCACTGTTAACTTTGTTAGAGTGGTTGTTGTGTTTGTCTCTGAGAGTTTAACCAAAGTCCCTCAAGAGGTTTATGAGATCTTTTGATCACAGTCAGACATGTTTATGTGCAACAATTAAGGCCTAAACGTAGGTTTATAAAAATGTGATAGGGATGACCCTAACTACATGTGTTTCGTTTTAGCTGTGGCAGCCACCTTGAATTGAGTTTACTCCAAAAGTTATTCAGTTTTTTATTTTCAGTTTTTAAAATATTAGCTCTTACTGACATTTACAGCTTTAAGTTAAGCCAACATCTACAAAGCAGTTGTTGTGACATCCACATGCAGGAGGCCTCAGTTTCTCATTGTTCTTGGCTGTCAGGGTAACAATTCCTGGCCCTAAAATACAGCTGAAGTAACACATGCATCTCTCAGTTCTGCTGCTTTTAAACAAATATTTAACTGTTCTGACATGTAGACTGGTTTGAATAATACTAATATTCCACATGTGAATATGTCTCTAACAGTTGGAGAAGGTCCGGGTTGCATACCACAGGTCTTGTCAGAAGGAGCAAGCAGCTCTTGACAAGGAGAAACAAGCGAACGAAAACTCTGAGATGAGTGAAGAGAAAAAGCAGAAGATCAGGGAGGCCAAAGAGAAAACTGCAGAGGAGAAAGAAAAGGTGAGGAGAGATTGTCACCCACTGCAGAACTTCAGAATATTTTGAATCAGTGCTCAACGTGAGCCGGTACTCACTAGTATGCAGTAAAGTATTTGTAAGTTTTCATCCTTGGCATGTCGCCCCTGCCTCTTCTTATCCTCAACATCAGTGTGAGTGTCACCAACTGTAGTATGTTTCAGTCTTTTAAACTAACTTAGCACAAAAAACTGAAGTAAACTTGAGTTCAGTATATTATCTCTTTGTGATGCTTTTTGGCAATAAATCTTATGACTGACAGCACCTAGATGTACCAGAAGCAACAGCAGAACAAACTGTTGGCAATGACAGAGAAGAATCGGCAAATTTTTTATGTGCTCATCCCACAAATGCATGTTCCTTACAAATGTGGCACCATTTAAAAGTCCCCTTTTAAATGGTGCCACAAAAGGCTAAAAGGCTTTCCAACAGTACAAGATTTATTGCCAAGAAGCGTTGTTACAACAAAGAAATAACATACCCAACATAAATTTCCAAACTTTTTGTGCTAAGTTTATTTGCATTTCCTCTTCCCAGTATTTTGCACATACTGAAAATTATCATATATTCTGCATATTCAAGAGGGCAAACATGCTAAATAGATTTTGCCTGCTAATTTTCACATTTGACAAATGCAAACCTCTGCAAACACGGTTCAGCTTTGCACATGCTATCAAGTCTGCACATGTGTTTATACATGCAAACCCTTGGTAAATCAAGCACTCAGTGGTTCAAAGTTACACAGAGCCAATCAGAGACAGAGCTGGGCGTGTGCTGGGGATTTTTTCATCAGTGATTCGATTGCATGTAGAAATATTAGAAGGTGCCCACAAAAAGTGTCACAGAGATGAAATGATTAATTTTAAATAAACATTTAATCTGTTGGGGTGAAATTTAGTTCTTGGCCAATTAAGATGTGGATGCTTTACCTGAGAGTAGAGCAACACATTCGGGTACTGAGCCTCTTTGCGATGTTCCTGCCTTCCTTTGGGGGAAACTATCCCTCCACTTTGACGGGCAGTGAGTAAGAAAACTGGTTCAAATAAGACTACAACTATCTTTTTAAGTACTTAAATATTATGGCCGGCCAGGCAAGTAATGTTACTGGAAATCAATGATCTCTAGCCCTTCTACAGAAAAACTTTCAGAAATATGAACAGTCATCCGATTGGACAAACAATAGCACCAGTGGTACCAGGTGAGGTTATGCCTTTGAACATTATTTTGAATCGGAAATCTGTTTATTTTTATCATATTCCTATCCTAACCCTCAACATGCATCCAAGTTTCAAGAGGGTTTTGTCAACTCGCTTCCTTGTGATAATATTTCATCTCTCAGGAAACTCGAAGCATGTGACCCAACCATAACATTCTGCTCCAGGCATTTCCCTTGTGTTAATGTTGCTGCGCTCTGTGTTTATAGAGACCAGCATGGAAAATACTCTTTAGCTCCTCCGTTACAGAAATACAGATGCTCATTCTGAGGAGGATTTTCAACTTTTCATTACAAAAAAAAGGTTTTTGTCCTGGGCTGCTTTCAGGCTAAGGATCGATACGAGAAAATGCTAGAGGATGTGTCGTCATACACGCCTCGCTACATGGAGGAAATGGAAGCCATTTTTGAAGAGACGCAGGAGGAGGAGAGGAAGAGGATCAGCTTTCTGAAGCAGGTGTTTCTTTCCATCCACAGACATCTGGACATCACCAACAATGAGAGGTGAGCTGCCAGGGGTTCAGGAGATATTTTGCTAACATGACAGACAAATTATTACAAAAACCGACAACATTATTTTGTTTTTAGCAGTAATAAAACACCACATCCACTGCTTTTTTTTTCTTTCTGTTAGTGTGAAAGCTGTTTACAGTGAGCTCCATCAGACGTTGATGTCCATTGATGAGCAAGATGATCTGAAATGGTGGAAGAATAACCACGGTCCTGGCATGCCGACTGACTGGCCCAAGATTGAGGTACGTTAAGAGTTTTAGTAAGATTCACACAGATAAGGCTTAAACTCAAGGTTTTGAGAACTTAATATTTATTTTAAATAGTCTTGAAGCCACTTCCTTCATGGGCATGAACAAAAAGAAAAACACACCAATTTTATGTCATCTAGAAAAACAACTGTTTATATTTTTTGTGGCAATGTTTTTCTTTCCATTTTCAAATGTTCACAGATTTTTTACCAAGCCTATGCTATAATTACACCAATATCAGTATCCTCTTACAGTATATTTTTTAAATTCAATGGGTTTTTTTTCTTCCAGCAATGGGTTCCTCCCATAAAAAAGCTCAATAGAAAGAAAAGAGACCAGAAGGGGAAAGAAAGTCGACCGTAAGTCATCCTAAATGGTCTGCTTACTTTAAATCTAAATATTCAGCAAATGCTTGACAACAACACTGAGTTGAATGAGAAATGCTTGAGCCCAAATCATGCTGACAATCTGAAGTAAGTCTTCTCCTTTCCAGTGTGATGATCGGGGGTGTGAAGGTGAGAGCGTTGTACGACTACGTGGGAGAGGAGGCTGATGAGCTGTCCTTTAAAGCAGGTGAAAAAACAAGTGTAAAGCAGTGATGTCAGAGCAGAAAGATGTCAAAACTATCCGTTTCTCTAAAATGACAAGCTGGTAAACCAATGTGGGGTTCCGTACAATTTAATAAGTTACAATGGGACGTTTGTGCTACGAACATGAGAGTCAGCATGAAGAATTACCAGCAGTCACACCTTTTATGTAAATAACTTTGTAGTGTAAAATCCATGGAAATGTAAAATTCTCTAAAAACTGGGTCATTGAATCACTATTAATTTAGAAAGACCACAACAATACACATTTTGGTCTTGACCCTGCTTGGGCTAGCTGTTATCTCATCTGTCCAGTCAGAATTAATTCATATTTCTCCAAACTGAGGTTTTCAAAGAGCTATCCACAACAGGTAAGATATTATTGTTGATATCCTTTTCACAGAACCCCACTTTAAAAACTCTGACCTATCTCTTTAGGTACAATATTTATTTTTAATCCTAGCCAAGTAGTTTTTACTAAAGATCTTAACAAAGCTATATGTTTAAAAATCAATTATGTCTACAGAATATTTTTTAAGTTGTATCACTGCATTACATTAATGCACAATCAGGAAAACTCAGCTAAAATATATTCATTTTAGGGAAACAAAATACATATTTTAAGATTGTATTTATCTAAAGTAACTCAAACCTTGTTGAATTAAAAGCAGTTTAAGCTGAATGCTATTAGATTTTACTCTTTATGTACACTGTTTGTTTAGGCTTTGTTTAATCTGTCACTCATTTCCCAGCTGATCAAAGTTCATGTTTTTATGTGTGAATGTTTGCAATGTGTCTGTTTTATGGAGGCTTATCAGCTGGGACTGACAGTTCTGCCTTTCAAATCCCAAAAACTGGGCAAATATTCAATGGAATCCATCAGGTATATTAAAGGGGCAATATTATGTTATCACTGCAGGATTTCTCAAATGAATGAGTCAAAGCAAGGCTTTGGGTCTGTTTTTTTATGAGAGTATAACATTATAACATGATATAAAACTCAAAAAAGTTGATTTTACATGATAYTGCCCCTTTAAATTTTTGCAAAAGTTACATCAAACAGACTTTTCAGTTTGACAAGTTAAACTCAAACAACAGCCATCATGTATGTAAGGACATGTAAAGGAACATGACATCATAGTTGGAAATAAACCACTATTATGTGTTGATGTGAGTATACTGTTTTTGGTCTTTACAGGTCAAAGATACCCCACACTTATTATTTATTTGTTTGTTTGTTTTTTGTGTCCAATGTGTTAAATGCTGAGAGTATTGACCATGATTGACTCTAAAAGATTCATTTCTCATGGTACAAGTATATAAGAGATGACACTGAATGTGTGTGTGTGTGTGTGTGTGTGTGTGTGTGTGTGTGTGTGTGTGTGTGTGTGTGTGTG